GTCTTCAGGTACCTTGAGAACAGTGCATGAGATTTCTGTTCCTGCTAAAATACAGAATGGGCTTTCCTTTCACTAGCTGAGGAATCGGACCACCACTGGTGATCTCTGAACCATCTTGGAGGTGGAAGAGGGGCACAGCTCAGCTCAGGGACAGGCAGGTTCATCCGTTTCTGCTCAATTTCAGTTTTGCTTGTGTTCATAAATCTGTTCCATCCCAGACCTAGTCCTCTCCGTCTCAGGTGAATGTAGCATACTGCATGGCTGAGTGCTAGGCAGAACAACGTAATGTATGACCACAGAACTTGAGGATTTCAAGTACAACAACTTTCGTACTCATGGAAAGAAGAAGAAGAAGAGTTTGGATTTGATATCCTGCTTTATCACTACCCAAAGGAGTCTCAAAGCGGTAACATTCTCCTTTCCCTTCCTCCCCCACAGCAGACACTCTGTGAGGGGAGTGTGGCTGAGAGACTTCAGAGAAGTGTGACTATCCCAAGGTCACCCAACAGCTGCATGTGGAGGAGCGGAGATGCGAACCCGGTTCCCCAGATTACGAGACTACCGCTCTTAACCACTACACCACACTGGCTCTTAAAATAGGACCCAGTAGGAAGCTCAAAATAGGACCCAGTAGGAATTGCTGTGGTAGAAAGTTGCATGCTTTTTGTGCAATACTCAGCAAGGGTATCAAGGTGGGTGGTACACAATGGAAATCATAGAGGACAGAGATAAGCCAAAGAGATAAGCCATGAAGCTGGTGGACTCTTCTTTGTTAAAGGGAGGGAGACAAAGCAGGTGATTTCCTACTTTGACAGAGGCTCAGGCTAGATGCCCTTTGAGATCTCTGCCAACTCTGTGACAGCTAAAAAGAAAAGTAGCCACCAAATTCAAAATAAATATGGCTTTGTCCACTATGTGCTGTGGACCAGTGACCAGGAATTACCACCAGATTCTACAAAGTGAGCTTCTCCAGGTAAGCCAGCTGGCCATTATTCATGGTAGAGGGCCGGCCCTACCATTGGGCAGAATGAGGTGGCTGCCTCAGGCGGCAGAGGTTGAGAGGCTGGGGAATGGTGGTGAGGTGTTAGAAGACAGAGCTACGTGTCCCCTGCGTGGCTAGTCTTCCAGTCTCAAATCCAGTGTCCTATCCCCAGTGTTGAAACAACGATTCAGCTGCCAGTTCTGCAGGCTTCCAAATGTGCATTGTTTGTGTGAGGGGCACCTTGCCTTTTGCCGACAAGCCAAGATGTCTTGTGTTGCCCCAACTGCGTTAGATGTAAGCAGTTCTTAAGCTCCTTAATTCCTTGTTTCTACTCAATGGGAGTAGCCACCCATTGAGACAACAAGTTCTGAAATCTGGTAGGAACATACGACACTGTCTTACACTGGGCAGATCACTTGTCCTCCCCAACTAGCAGTGTCTACTCCAGCCAACATGGCGCCCTGTTACTGGACTCCAGCATCCATCTAGCAGGCCATCTAACCATCAGTTGGTCAGAGCGTGGTTCTCCTAGCCCAAGGTCGTAGGTTTGATCTCTTTATGGGATAGCTGCGTATTCCTGCATTGCAGGGGGTTGGACTGGATGAAGCCCAGGGTCTACAATTCTGTGATTCTGTGATCAGCCTGACAGTTGAGTCAGTGGTCAGGGATGATGAGAACTGTAGCCCAACAATATCTGGAAGAAGAAGAGTAGAAGAAGAGTTTGGATTTGATATCACTATCCTAAGGAGTCTCAAAGCGGCTAACAATCTCCTTTCCCTTCCTCCCCAACAATAAACACTCTGTGAGGTGAGTGGGGCTGAGAGACTTCAAAGAAGTGTGACTGGCCCAAGGTCACCCAGCAGCTGCATGTGGAGGAGCGGAGACGCGAACCTGGTTCACCAGATTACGAGTCCACCACTCTTAAGGCAGCATGTTGGCCTTTGTATGTTCTGGCTGGCAATGGCTCTCCAGAGAGAAGGCTTTTTAGGACTCGAGATTATCTAAACAGAAATGCTAAGGATAGAGCCTGAAATCTTTCGCGAGCAAAGTGTGTGCTTCAGACAGTCTGAATCATGTTGTGTTGTGTTAATTGTGTTGCCAAACCCACCAGACAAAGATGTCCAAGCAGTTCAAGGAGGAGATAGCAGCTGAACCTACTTTTGCTACAAGCTTATACTTGATTCAGAAGAGACATTATATTTGAATGATGTTGGCACATGAGGATTACAATGGCAAAAGCGAATAATGCACAGAGGTTATGAGCCCTCTCTTGTTTACTCACGAGTAGTCTTTCTTGGGCATTCAATGGGATTTATTCATTGTATGTAAATTTAGGGCCAAAGTCCAATTAAAAAAAGCCAGTCCGGTTTTTGTTTTTTTAAAGTAGAACAAAAACAGGGATAATTAGGCCTTTAGGGATTTATAGCTAAATATCCATTACAGTTCACATTTGTTTAGCCCATTTAAAAGGGCAAACTCGGTTGGACAGCAGGTTAATGGTAAGTGGGTTTCCGTTTTTTAATTCATCACTTACTTGCCTTGATGGTTTTAAAATCTACCTGATCAGCAGCAATTTGAGGTGTTTTGTCTCCCATCCTTTGCTTGTTTCCTCTGAGCTCTTTAGAATGTTTAATTCATTTACATAAAAGTTAAGCAGTAATCCATATCTTTTGTGCTCTTGTTTTAACAGCCCTCATTCTGTAATAGTTAAAAACGCAGTGTGCCTGTTTATTTCATTGATATAAATAAGGATAAGTAAGCAGTTCTTAAAAGGGAGAGGGAGAGAAGACGGGGCACTTCTTTTTAAAGAGGCACACAAGCTGGGGAACAATTTAGAATTAAATCCACATTCATAAATTCCTTAATTGGCATAGTCATCATCTTTAATTGCTCATTATAAAGGATACCATAAAATGTGATGGGAGTAAATTGTTAGCAGATGATATTATGGGGGGCTATAAAATGCATTTTGTAATATGTAAATATTGATGGGGGGAACGTTCGGCGTTTAGCGGGAAAAAATAATGTGATTTAGAAAGTGATTGTAATCAAAAACTAAACTGCAGCTCTTCAGCTATGAGCACAAGTCATTTCATTGGAGAACTGGCACCGGAATCTCATGAGCTGCATTGCAACTCTATTATCTGTCTAGGGCACAAATGCACAGTTGTTTGTGAATCCCTTTGTCACCTGAATGCCCGCAGCTCTGGTAAGCGTGCGATGTCAATGCAAAGGGATACAGAAAACTGTGTCACACGGTCTCTTATGTATTGAGCATGCTGCGCTGTGATCAGGCTTAAAGTAGCATTCTAAATGCCCTGTAGCTGTGGTGGCCAGCCATACAGAGCAGACGTCTCTCAAAAGTACCACTAAGGAGAGAATTCAGTCCTCTTATAATGTGATCTCCCAAAGTTTAACTCCTGGAGTACGATCTCGAACTAGTGTGCTTTGAAGCCATGGATCCAGCACATTGACTTTTCCTGTTGCCGTTAAATCGAGTTGTTGTGCATCTTTGGGTTGGGCTCATGGAAGCTGTGAATGGAGCTCCAGGTTCATATATTTCCATAGCATGGTGTCAAGGCTGTAGGGCAGACTTCCCCAACTTGTTGCCCTCCAGACACTTTGGAGGGTGGCTGCCATCAGCCTCAGCCAGCGCTAACAGCCCCAGGTTGTGGACACCTGCTCTAGGGAAGGGCTGTGTTTGCAAACCGCACTGCCCCAGTAGAGTTTTTTGCTATTAAAAGGTCAGGCGTGAGCTTGTTGTTTATGCTGTGTGTTAGTCAATACAGTGGTACCTCGGGTTACATACGCTTCAGGTTACAGACTCCACTAACCCAGAAATAGTACCTCGGGTTAAGAACTTTGCTTCAGGATGAGAACAGAAATTGTGCTCTGGCGGTGCAGCAGCAGTGGGAGGCCCCATTAGCTAAAGTGGTGCTTCAGGTTAAGAACAGTTTAAGGTTAAGAACGGACCTCCAGAACAAATTAAGTTCTTAACCTGAGGTGCCACTGTATGTTCTTACCTCTAGAAGAAGGTGTGAGGGCTCTAGGACCCTGCCAGAGCCTTGCGCCTCCTTCCCAAATGCATTACTTAGTTATTTTGAAACATTTATCTTACTGTAACTAGTTTTTAAGACTGTTCTGCAGCAAAAGTTTGGAACTCAATTCTTGTGGGTGAAAGAATTCATTACCACACAAGAATTGAGTTTCAAACTTTTGCTGCAGAACAGTCTATTGTGTGTTACAATACACATGCAGAGTTTAGGAATGCACAGTATTTGGAGAACGGGAGTCACAAGTTTCAAACGTGCTAACTTTTGAGTAAATGTCTGTTTCAGGATCTCTATGTAATGCTAAGCCAGTTCTGGCATCTGCTGTGCTATACAATAGAATATTTGCTTTCTATTGGCTTTGGAAGGAGCCAGAACATGAACATACATTATAGTGCTACAGTAGTTCTGTTGTGAGCATTATGTCTCTGAATACCAGTTGCTGGAATCACAGGTGGGGTGAGCGTTATTGCGCTCTGGTCTTGCTTTTGGGCTTCCCCTAGCCAACCAGTTGGTCACTGTGAGAAGCGGTTGTGGGACAAGATGAGCCATTGGTTTGATCCAGAAGGCTGTTCTTAGAGCAAAGTGGCACCAAGGTTATATGTACAGATTTGTTGCATAAAATACATAATCAAGGTGGGCACAGATCGGCAAGAATCACCTGTTTTTAAGCTGGGGGAGTGCATGGGTGCACCCTTTTATTAACTTTGGGGATATCTCTGTGTCACTGATACAAAGCTCTTTGGGTGTATAACCGGAGTTAAAATTGAATAGGTACAAAAATTGATATTGCCAAGTCAATTACACTGTGATGTTAAAATAAGGCCTATAGACTTTCTTCATAGAATGTTGCTGTGGAATTGTCTTGCTCTGAAGACGTGGCACTGTGCAACAATAGTTTTACAAAGTTTCTACCAGCACCTATCTAAGCCCTCGTTAATTGCTGCCTAATTTTGTTTTTTCTCTAGACCCTGGATGTGGAGGAAAGCTTGGGATATGCAGAAATGCTTGTGCCTATTTTCAAATGGGAATTTGGATTTACTGCAGGATATGTACACTGATAAATCTGTTTAACTACAGTCAAAACCTGGAAAAGGGGCTAAGGTAAGGGGAATGCTTCATCTTTTTAATAGACTATGAGGATTCCTGGAATGTCTGATGGGTAATATTAATTACCTTAAATTGACGTTACACAGGTAACTGATTTGGGAAGGTGGAAAAACATGATTTGGAATGCATTTTTTTGGAGCGCTGTTACTCAGCTCTGATTACCTGGTTCTAAAGATTCAATCCTCCTTTTTTCAGAGTTGCGTCTTGTTCCTGAGAGATTTCTCTTCATATTCCTGGGCTACAGCCAGGACCAAATTTTGAAAATACCATTGTAAATCTAGAAATATTCTCCAAGCCCAGATATGCAGGAGCAGGGCCGCCACTATCAGTACCTGGCATCCTTGGGCAGTTATCAGAGCACCTGAGCCAGACCCCAACACCAGGATCTGCTGCCCCCATGGATCCTGCTGCCTGAGGCAGTCACCTCACCTTGCCTCATGGGTGGGCCGGCCCTGGAGGAACTATTACACAATAGACATTATAATTGTTTTTCTGGCCTGTCACTCTGAGCTGCACCAAGTGCCTGGATCTTGGCACTCCTTTCCCTTTCTGACAATGCTCCCAACCTAGCATCACTCTGAGGAGCTCTGGGGAAATTGAAAGGTTGGCTAGACTTAGTGTTGCCGCCCCAGCCAGGTGTGTCCAATAGGGTCCTGACAGAGGAGGATGACCACTGGAGGACACTTTGTCCAGGTCTTCTTCGAACCTGGAGCCAGCCCTGTGCATGGCCTAGTTACTCAGTGAGGGCGAGGCACTCTGCAGATGTCCAGAGGCTCTTGCACCTTCATTATGGCATTGCGTGCTGAGTCCTGGCCTTAGAATGCATTGCAGAGGGGTTGAGCTCTTGTTAGCGCTGTCCCTGGCTCCATACAGAAAGATTGAGCAAAGCCAAAGCTGGGACTTGCTGGGATTCACAGAATTTATGTTCTCCAGTCAACTGCATGATACTGCTTAAGAGACAGCAACCCCTTCCATCTAGGGGCCTGACCTCCCATCTCACCACCACACTCATCGCAGGTTATAGTTCTGGTTCATGCCATGGAATATCTAATTCATATTGTGGCCACATTGTTGCTTGGATGTAAGCCAGTGTCCTGTTCAGCCAGAAGGTCCAGATGGCAAAGCAGCAATCTTTGGCCGGGGTCCAGAGCAATGGTACTTTGGATGTTTTCATGCCACACAATTTCCATTCTGTCCTTTTAAAATCTCTTTCCCTCTCTCTTCCCTGTGGCATCATTTCTGTAATTTAAAATCAGTGTCGTTCAGGTTTTCTAGACCTAGGACTAGGGATAATTCAGATGAAAATGGAAACGGGAGCACAAATTCCCCATCTTTACTCGTTTGTCCCATGTCTGGACTGCAAATCAACCCAGTGAATATGATCAGTATTTGCTGCTGCTGCTGTTGCTTTCAATCTGCCACTGAATTTTTTATATGTGTTGGAAGCCGCCCAGAGTGGCTGGGGCAATGCAGCCAGATGGGCAGGGTATAAATAATAAAATTATTATTATTATTATTAGTGATGTGTAATTGATTGCACCCCCCCATCTGCACTGTGTTTCCTTTGCCTTGAAATGGGTTGGAATAATGTCAAAACTTATGTAATCTATGTCTCAAATTACATATATTATGCTGTTATGTAACTTTTCCACAGCAGACATCAACATGAATAGCATAATTCTTGACGGAATACAAACTGCAGCAGAAAAGAAACAGCGCTGCAAGTGATGAATATAGGATAGAGTGGAAAATGATGCCCAACCCATAAATCCAACCACTAAAATGAAAATAAAAGTATCTCTCTTCATCAGGGGTTAGGAACTAGTGTCCCTCCATGTGTTCTTGGACTACAGCTTCCATCATCCTTGACCACTGGTTATGCCGGCTGGAATGGATGGGAGTTGGGATCCAACCACATTAGGAGCACCACAAGTTACTCCCCCCCCTCTCTCTCTCTCTCACACACAAACCACTTTTCATCATCTTTCATTTCCCCAGAAGATAGTCATAGCAGTGCTGGTTTGATAGTCATAGCAGTACCTTGGCTGATCCGTTGCAGACCAGTGATTTGAATGGTCTGTTCCAAAACGTTACTTAAAAGAAATCCCATGTACTTTATTTGTATGTGTGTGTTGTAAAGATCTCATGCTGAGCCATGCCCAGCCCTTCAAACAGAATCACACCCAGAGACCCTTCCAGCTGTGTATATGGAGGAAGCATCAGCTGCTATTCTGAATCCCTTCTTATTATGAGACATGGCTGGTAGCGAATTGATCTTGGCTTAGGTGCAAATGTGATTCCACCCCCTTAAGTATTTTTTTTTAAATAATCCATTCCAATTAATTTCCAGTCTGTCACCAGCCCCCCTCCTTTGCAGCTTTCCCTTTTTCTTTTACATTACTCCCAAATTATATATTGTCCGTCTCACTCATTGTCTTCCTTTCCCCCACCCCTTCCCCGCTGCCTGCAGGATGAGGTCCTGTGCCAAATCAATGCTTCCGTCTCAGTGGCTGTTCCTGGCATATGTGTTAATGGTGTGCTGTAAATTGTTGTCCGCGACTAGCCACCATCCCCGGGGGCACCCAGGTAGGAGCTTTTAAACTCATTACGCGCCGCCGAGGCCAATTAATAACACTCTCTGAATGTTAGCGTCCACTTTTTAGCCATGGATAATTGATGAAGCTGTTGACACTGCGCTGCAATCGGAGCAGGAAAGGTTATGAACACATGTGTACGGAAAAAGAAAGAAAGAAAGGGATGAGTTATTGCTCAGATTTCAAAAGAGTTCATGGTAATGTTTATGTTGGGCAGTTTCCCAAGTGATTTCAAATCATTTTCCCGGTTTGGGGTGTTTTTCTTTGTTTCTCCTTTGTAACCAAAAGCAAAATAGATCTCAGTTTCATATAGCAGAAAATAAACCCCTTTGTTACAGAAAATGAAGGTAGGTAGGGTGGGGGGGGGGAAGAAAAAATAATAATGATAGCTTACTAGTGATGTTTCACATGTTCGTTTCCTCTCCTTCATGTGATAAGCTGATTACTCTAACAAAATAAATTCCGTTTTTAGAACAGCTGTGACAGCCCTGCACAGTTGACAGGCTCTGTAGGATGTGAAAAACAGACCGGGTTTTCCCAGATGAAGATATCAGTTATGGGGGGGGGGGGAGAGATGCAGTACCTGGGTTAAGGAATCTTCCAAGAGAGGGTTTGGTGGGTAGGAACCTCCTGAGACCACTTGCTCACCAACCTAGGGATTTCAGCCAGAATCATATGCATGCCCAAATCGGTTGAATGTGGAAGACTGTGTCTCCCCACAGTGTCTCTTCTGTGGGCTGTGGGAACCGCCAGCCTGCCGAAGCGTGCTCCCTTTCTGTAAATGAAAGCTACTTGGCTGTAGAAGGTTTTGGACTTTGAGCCATAAGTGCTTGCCAGGCAGTTCAGAACCATTTTGCTCGCTTCCCAGTAGGCGGGTTGCTGTTGCTTACCAGGAGAAGGCAGGGTTAGGTGACAAAAATGGCTACTCTGCAAGCAAACTGCCAGGAGCGCCAGATTGGCTCTGCTGGTGCATTTGCGCCACGCTGACCTCCCTGCTGCCATGCCACTCCTAGTAATTAACAGGGACCCCTACCTGCCAGGATGGTAGCATGGCAGCCCTGCCCCACCAGGATTTCTGTATTTCCCCTTCTGTTTGCTTGGCCTTTCCTGGGGTTCAAATCCCTGTGGACTGGTAAAGAGTGCCTTGAGCCTCACTTGAGTTGCAGGGGTTGTTGTGGGAATAAACAAGACAGACTTTTCAAAGTCCTTTGTATGGTGTGTGTGTGTGTGTGTGTGTGTGTGAGAGAGAGAGAGAGAGAGAGAGGGAGGAAGTGCAATGCTCACTCCAATATTCTGAGCAGCTCTAAATTCCAAAGGTGCAACACTTTCCCAAGTGTGGTTTCTTTTGGACGATGTTCACTGGAGGTTTGTTGTTGTTTGAACTTATTTGTGGAAGCACAGTAGCCACCAATAACCTTTTCCTCCATTAATTTGTCCGGTCCTCTTTTCAAGCCATCTGAGCTGATGATCACTACTACATCTTGGTAGTGGGAGCAAAATCCTATAGTTTATGTGCAGTGTGAGCAGGGCAACTGCCCCGAATCTCCCAACATTCAGCTTCATTTGGATGTCTACAAGTTCTAGAGTTACAAGGGAGAGAGAAAAGTTTTTCTTCTTTCACTTTCTCCACCCCATGCATAATTTTATACGCTCCTATCATGCTCCCCCTTTATGTGTCTCTTCTATAAACTAAAAAACACCAACCCAAATGTTGTAGCCTTTTGCTCATAGGGAAGTCGCTCCATCTCCTTGATCTTCAAAGATGTGAGTCCAGAGTGGTTGTCGTTTTTGTTTGCTAATATGGGATAAAGATGCTTTTGAATTCTGGTGCTGGAGGAGACTCTTGAGAGTCCCATGGACTGCAAGAAGATCAAACCTCTCCATTCTGAAGGAAATCAGCCCTGAGTGCTCACTGGAAGGACAGATCCTGAAGCTGAGGCTCCAGTACTTTGGCCACCTCATGAGAAGAGAAGACTCCCTAGAAAAGACCCTGATGTTGGGAAAGATGGAGGGCACAAGGAGAAGGGGACGACAGAGGACGAGATGGTTGGATAGTGTTCTCGAAGCTACAAACATGAGTCTGACCAAACTGCGGGAGGCAGTGGAAGACAGAAGGGCCTGGCGTGCTCTGGTCCATGGGGTCACGAAGAGTCGGACACGACTAAACGACTAAACAACAAGAAAGCGGCATGATTAGCTTAAGTCAATAAATATGTCCCTTTGAGTGATTATCTCTTTTGAAAAGCCTTTTCATGTAAGAAGGTTTCTTAGATCAGGCCATACTATTTACCTGCTTGGTCCACTATTGTCTACTCTGGCAGGCACTGACTCTCCAGAGTCTCAGGCAGGGACTAAACCTGGGACTTCCCCCACTGGATGCTGAGTGCAGCCTGGGTCCCTAGAACTGCATCCTTGTCATAAAAAAACATGCTGATGATAAACACTCCGGCCCCCAAGGAGGAGGGATCCTGTTCCTTGTTCTATGACATAATGCTGTGCAGTACCTATGAATATAAGGGGACGTGGGTGGCGCTGTGGGTTAAACCACAGAGCCTAGGGCTTGCCGATCAGAAGGTTGGTGGTTCGAATCCCCGTGACGGGGTGAGCTCCCATTGCTCTGTCCCTGCTCCTGCCAATCTAGCAGTTTGAAAGCATGTCAAAGTGCAAGTAGATAAATAGGTACCACTCCGGCGGGAAGGTAAACGGCGTTTCCGTGTGCTGCTCTGGTTAGTCATGCGGCTTAGTCATGCTGGTCACATGACCCGGAAGCTGTACGCTGGCTCCCTCAGCCAATAAAGCGAGATGAGCGCCGCAACTCCAGAGTCGGTCACGACTGGACCTAAAGGCCAGGGGTCCCTTTACCTTTACCTTTACCTATACCTATGAATATGGCACTCTATCACCACCTTGTGACTATTTATAAGCATCACAAGTGTTACTCCACAGCACATTTATTATTTTCTGCATTGCTACCCCATTCTTCAGCCAAAAGGGTTCCCAGAGCCAACTTATAGAGGAATAATAATAATAATAATAATAATAATAATAATACAGCCCTTGCCCTTAGATATACAATCAAAGAGACAAGGCACAAAAGGAAAAGGGGACAGGGAAGGAGGAGGAAAAAACCTAGCCCAGGCAACAGTTCTCCACAAAGTTCTTAAAAGGATCAGCTGGGTTGGAAATAGCATAGGGTAAGGAGGAGGTAAAAGCATCTTATGTCTCAGCAGAGCCAATGGACTGGCCCTGCATCTCTTCTGTACCTCTGTTGTGGCTTAACGGAGGAGCTGCTGCCAGACCAGCATATGAGAATTTGCATTTCTAAACCACAGTTTGTGTTCCAGTCCAGGCTACCAACCACAGAAAGAAAACCATTTATATAAGATCACATCAACTTAAAACAGGAAAGGTCTTGACATCCTGGTTATTCTGAGAAACCTGGAAAGTTTCTCCATACGCTTAGGGAGTATGGAAGGGGTGTGTTTAGAGTGGCTGCCTGTGTAGGGACCCTTTGTTGTTACCATGGCAACGAGAAGAATAAACAAAACTCCCAAACTTTGAGCAGTGAAAATCTGCCAAACAAATGGTGGGACCAAAATAACCTATGCAAATGTATGCAAATCTGTTTCTTTAAACATTATCCCAGTTGCAGAAGTGGGGGGCCCCAGAATAATTTAGAGCTTAACTTGGCTGCTGCACAAAAACTGTAGTTTTTTCCACATTTGTCATGTTTACATATAGTTTCATGACAATTCAGCGTTCAGTTAATTAGGGTGGTTTTGGGGTTTTTTTATATAAAAAAAATCCGTACCATCTGCTTTGGTACCATTTCCGAAATCACCTCATTTAGAGGCAAGTTTCCATGTTAAAAATAAACTCTTGGGAGCCTCAGTTATTATCACATTGCAACAAAAAATATATGAAATTGCTGGCATCAATTAGCACGTGAATACCTACTACTTTATCCACAAACACTCCACAACTGGGAGCCCAGCAACATGGTGATAAGTTGCTGGCGATTTCACAAGGTGGTGATTGGTGCGTGAACAATGTCTGAATGTGTAAACTTACACGAAGCCGTCACTTCGTGGTCTCGTTTTCTTCCCCCTCCCCCCACAAAAAAGTCGATGGTGGCTATTTATTTCTTGAAAATTTCCAGCTACAGTTAATGAGCAAAATTAATTTGCATGTTTTGAGCACGCCCGCAACCCCACAGCCCATCTTGTTAACCTCAGTTTCCACATGGTCTTCCAATTCCGTTCAGTTTGCCTTTTCTAGCATGCAAGAGAATTAGCAGTGGCAAAAACATGTTGACTTTGGAATTCGTTTCCAACCTAGCATTCAATCACGCCCCTTTAAAATTCATTCTCCATCCATTCCCAGGGGAAATACCTGTGATGGGAAGATGATGATGATTCTTTTGTGTGCATGCAAGATGAATGCTCATTACGCACAGCGCAAATTCTTTAACTTTTACCGCTCAAGACTTTGCTTGTATGTGGGGTTGTGCTACTATTATTTTGGTAGGGTTAAGATTGATTTTTAGCCCTCTCAATAGGCACCCTCTTAATATTAAAGTGTTTGTGAAGTGACAACAACTTTATGTGAATGAAAAATAGATGACCGTAAGGTAATTGCTTCTGGAAGCCTCAAGGAATATAACAAGCAATACCATGTTGCCGTTGTTAATTTTGTTCCTTCTGAAAAATTGAAGCAAACTTCAATTGAAGCAAACTTCCCTTGAACAAAAGGGAAGACTGATGTTTACCTGCCATTTTCTGTCTCAGAGTGTCCACACCATCTTGACTAAGTTGCTGTGATGTCACAGAATGTTCACAACATTCTAACTGTTCAGAATGCTGAAAGACCATGAAACTTTTGCAGATGAGGAGCCCAGAGCCATTGGCAGAAAGGAGGTCTGGGTGCTGAGCTATGAGGGAGGCTTGTGGCTAAAAGTTAAGTGAGAAGAGGCCCCAAGATCGAGAAGAGTAA